ATTGCGTCGTTATTTGTGAAGATGCTGCTCGAATGCCTGTTCTGAAGGGAAAAGTCAGTTCCACTTCTTTTCAACTACCTGAATTCTTTATTTTTTTACTATTAATGTTTTTGCAAGAGTTTTCTACTCAATGTTCAAAACAGGGCGACCAAAATGGGCGAACTTTGGTCAGTCAGCCAACCTTCATCACTCTATAATGAGATACTTTATTTTTATTTTCGGTCTGGGAATTTCGGATCGGGCCGTGGTCAATCTTTTCATCGTCCTCATTAGGTCGGAGTTAATAAGCACCCTCATGTAAGTTGAAATGTCTTAGAGGAATTGATCCACAGACTGTGGGTATGATAGCGGCGCCTCTTTTGCTGTCCTTCAAATTAACTCTTTCAGCCTTGTTTATTTCCAATGAGAAGATAATTTTTCATGCTACTGCTCCTATTTTTTGGACACGAATCAGTGGTGGGTGCGAATCAGTAATGGGTGCAAAACAACAATTGAAATGAACAAGTTGTCTGAAACAACTTATAGCAGTGAGTAGTAAAAATGTTGTCGCGGTGATAATGCAGAATTCTGAATTTGGTGTAGGCAAATGGGCCACCGCCAGGGTTGGTAGGGCGGAGGAGTTTAGCCTTTCATCGGATTAGAGACTGAACTATTTTGGACAGGATGAAAACTTTCCAATGTTTATTGGACGGAGAGTATAACCGAGGGTCGAGTGCAAGCCGTTCATCTTATTGTTCGGTGGCTCGAGACGCCTCGAAAAGAAGAAACGATCATTGAACAGATCGGTGCTTTGATCTATATGAGCACAGTTCTACTATATGAACGTACATTGCTTTTCAAAAGGTGGTGGAGAGCCTGGAGGTGTTGCCTTCAACTTCATTATTGTCTTTCGTACCGGTAAAGTGAGCAGACTTTACTATGTTAGGAAAAGAACCTGAAAAGATCTGGAGTTCTGCTGTTTTTCTAGTCGTTATTGAATGGTATAATATTCCTCTTCTGTTTTTTAAGGGAATTTAGCACTGAAGCATAGTAGTGGGTGTTGAGCCCTCAATTTCTCGAGCTGTTCCTGATTAGGCAACAGAGCACAAACCATAAAACACATGTGAATCTTGAAAAAACTGATATGTTAACGTTGCCGAAATTTTAGTATTTTATCATTTAAGTTATGATTGAAAGAAAACCAGTTGGAGAGGGACGAAAGGGCATGCCGATAGATAATTTATCGTGTGCACGTGTTGAATCACGCAACGTTTTTTGCAGCTGTTGGTGTTGCGAGCTCCTAGTGGTTCCCTGCAATCAATATTGGTTTGATTCTTCGTAGACATATTTTATGTGCCATCATTGTTTATCTGCACCATACCCATGACCGTTGTTCAACTATCAATGTCTCAAAACTGTTTTTGATTTGCTCTGAGTTTCTAATATTTTTTAATGATTAATTTGATTATGATTTTGTACATGCCTATATTAAAAAAACCTTCAGAGTCATTCCGCACAGAGTTTCAATGTAATGGCTAAGAACAATTGAGCATTGCAGGATGACGTGCCGTTAAAATTCGACCGCATACTCTGTGATGTAATCTGTAGTGGAGACGGAACTTTAAGAAAAAACCCAGAGATTTGGGGAAAATGGACTCCACAAGACGGATTAGGGCTACATCGTATGCAGCTTTCAATTGCGAGACGGTCAGTCCATCCCCAGCTATGTCATTCTTGCTTTTGATTTCTAAACTCTTCATTTTGTGAAAACTTATCCAATCGAAAATGAATGCTTGAATTTTTTTTATTCAGTGGAGCTGCCATGTTGAAAGTCGGTGGTCGATTGGTCTATTCTACGTGCTCTATGAATCCCATAGAGGATGAAGCGGTGGTCGCTCAATTGTTACGAGAAGCTGAAGGAACTCTACGCCTTTGCGATGCACATCCGCTTTTGCCGAAACTCATTGGACTCCGTGGTGTCTCAACTTGGAAGGTATTGCTGTGGTGGTGGTTTATCTTTCTTTTAAGTGAGAGCTTTAAACAGTTTTCTTTCGTAGCAGTAATTTCAACATCCGTAGAGCTGCTAATGCGGATTGGCTTTTTCAGTCAAACCTTGCTAACTCAACCTTTAAATTGTTTACGCTCACACCACGTAAACGTCTGCGGACTATTGCTCCGTTTTGTAGGTTTTTGATCGAGAGATGAATTTGTACGGGAAGCCGTCCGATGTACCGGAACCACTGCGAAAGATGATATGTGAATCTTGCTTTCCGCCTAATGAAGAGGAAGCAGCCTCTCTCCATCTGGATTACTGGTAATTTTTGGGATACGCTTGTCATTTTTGATTTTTTAAATTTTTTTTCGTCTTATTATCAGTTAACTGCTTTCAGTATGCGCATTGTACCTCATCATCAAGATACAGGTGGCTTCTTTGTTGCGCTCTTGGAAAAAATCGATGAGAAGCCTCTCAACAGTCCTGTAACTGTGGGGTACAGCTTTTCTTAATTGTGTTCAAGTCCACCCTTTGTGTTTGTATGCCATTTTATTTCTACCTCTTCAGAGCTCCCGCTTACAAGAAGCAGAAGATGTTCAAGGACGAGCCTTTCACTTTTCTCAAAAAGGACGATGAACGGTGGTCCGATATCAAGTGAGCTACTTGCTATATTTGTTGCTTTAGTAATATCACGACAAAACAATGGCGAAAACTCATGCCAGTCCACACTTCCCAAACTGCGAAAAAGGCTAAAATTTCCTTCACTCCAATTAGAGCTCGATTTTACTTTTAAAGCTTCATAGCTTCATCGAGTCACAGCTACTATAAAGTTAATTCTACCTTCGCGTGTTTTTAATAAGAAAAATAAGCGAAAAGATCATCTGTTGCACACATTTTCATTGCGTCAATGATGAATCCTTGTTATGTTTGCGTTTTATAGAGCATCAGAATAATCAGACAACTTATGTTT